TAAATGATCATTCTCCCATTTTTTTGGACAAAGAAATAATTCTGAAAATTTCAGAAATGACTGCTTCTGGAACCACTTTCCTAATAGAACGGGCTCAAGACTTAGATGTAGGAAGCAACGGTCTCCAAACTTACACAATCAGCCCCAATTTCTATTTTCATCTTAAATTGCAAGACAGTCCCGATGGCACGGTATTGCCACAGCTGGTTCTGGACAAAGTGCTGGATCGGGAGGAGCAATCTGAAATTAGATTAATACTCACAGCGATAGATGGTGGGAGTCCACCCAGGTCTGGCACTGCCCTGGTCCTTGTTGAAGTCTTGGACATCAATGACAACGCCCCCACATTTTCAAAGTTCCGCTATGAGGTTCAGGTCCCAGAGAACAGTCCCGTTGGATTCCAGGTTGCTACAGTCTTTGCTAGGGATTTAGACATTGGGGACAATGGACAAATAGCTTATGCTCTTTCCCAAGCTTCTGAAGACATTCGGAAAACGTTTCGTATGAATGCAACAACCGGAGAAATCCTTTTAGCAAAGACACTGGATTTCGAATCCATCCAGACATATACAGTATATGTTCAGGCTACAGATGGTGGGGGCCTTTCTGGAAGCAGTGTGGTGATTGTCCAAGTGATGGATTTGAATGACAACCCACCGGAACTGACTATGTCCACAGTTACCAATCACATCCCAGAAAATTCCCCGGAAACCGTAATTGCTGTGTTCAGCGTTGCAGATCCTGACTCTGGAGACAATGGAAAAGTGGTGTGCTCCATCCCAGAGGATCTTCCTTTCATTCTAAAACCCTCACTTGAGAACTTTTACACTCTTATGACAAATGCAGCCCTGGACCGGGAGACCAAATCACAGTACAACATCACCATCACCATCACTGATCTGGGTACACCCAGGCTCACAACCCAGCACACCATAACAGTGGAGGTCTCTGACGTCAACGACAACGCCCCCGCCTTCACACAAAGCTCCTACACCCTGTTTGTCCAAGAGAACAACAGACCCGCCCTGCACATAGGCACCATCAGCGCCACAGACTCAGACTCAGGCTCCAATGCCCACATCACCTACTCGCTGCTGCCCACCCACGACCCGCAGCTGGACCTCTCCTCGCTCATCACCATCAATGCCGACAATGGGCAGCTGTTCGCGCTTAGGGCGCTGGACTATGAGGCCCTGCAGAGCTTCGAGTTCCGCGTGGGCGCCACAGACCAAGGCTCGCCTGCGCTCAGCAGCCAGGCGCTGGTGCGGGTGCTGGTGCTGGACGCCAACGACAATGCGCCCTTCGTGCTCTACCCGCTGCAGAACGCCTCTGCGCCCTACACAGAGCTGCTGCCCAGGGCGGCGGAGCCTGGTTACCTGGTCACCAAGGTGGTGGCTGTGGACCGCGACTCTGGCCAGAACGCCTGGCTGTCGTTCCAGCTGCTCAAGGCCACGGAGCCAGGGCTGTTCAGCGTGTGGGCTCACAATGGCGAGGTGCGCACCTCCAGGCTGCTGAGCGAGCGCGATGCACCCAAGCACAGGCTGTTGCTGCTGGTTAAAGACAATGGCGATCCTCCGCGGTCTGCCAGTGTCACTCTGCATGTGCTGGTGGTGGATGGCTTCTCTCAGCCCTACCTGCCTCTGCCCGAGGTGGCGCG